ATGGGATGGAGGATAATAGAAGCTTTTTGCATCCTCCTGTTGTCCCTTCGTGGGGGTACGCGGCTGCGCAGCGGTGCGYGCGGGGACGTGGTGCGCGCTGTGCAGCGTGGCCACTGCTGCTGCCCCTGGCCCTGGCCAGGTAGAGACAGCCCCATCCCAGCCAGCTCCTGCCCAGGAATCCGTCCGCATCCGCCCCCGGGATCCTGCTAGGCAGGGCCTAACTGCCCWGGTTCAGGTGGGTGCCGGTGGTGGCGGCGGCAAAGAGGCACCAAGACCCCCAGTGAGAAGCTGCACCCCGCTGGTCCCCATTGCTCCTGCCCTGCAAGGGGGGACGAGGACATCAGTGAAGGTGCGTGGGGCGCTGGCCACGGGGATCTCGTCCTGCTCCTCCCGCAGCTCTGGGGATCTCGTCCTGCTCCTCCCGCAGCTCTGGGCTGTTGTTATTTGTTTAACAAGCGGGAACACAAAGGCTCCATAACCCGGGCTTGCAAATTACCGCAGCCCAGGAAATGAGAACTCCTCAGCAGCATTAATTGGAGGGCTTTTTAATTAAAATCAGCTTGTTTCGTGATCAAAGATTAAAGGAAGGCAGAAAGCTGAAAGGAAAAGAACAGACACACTGAAAGGGTTGGCTGGCGTTCGCGAGGTGCGGCTGGGCCCGTGCCGCCCTGCGCTGCTCTGCCGCCTCCGCCAAGGCCTTTCCCATCCCCTGCCCCTGCCCGGTTCTCATCCGCTCCTGAAGGCTTCGCCCCGAGCGGCCGGCTGCTCCCTGCCCTCGTCCTGGTTCCGGGCTAAGCGCCGGAGCCGCTCGGTGCCGTCTCCTGATGAATCCGACTCGGCATTCCCGTCTCCACAGAGTCTCCTATGTCTTTTTCCCATGCAAGAAGCTGGATGTGGGATGTGGATAGTGAAAATGCGGCTCTGTTGCCTGGGGAAGATGGATGACCCTATGGCTGCTGAGAGTCACCAAGGAGGAGAAATCAGATGGAAAAAAAATGAGTGAATATAGGAATTCTCTAAGAAAAAAAATATGATGACCAAAAATGTAGTTTCCTAAGTGGAGAATGAGGATAATTTTGGTCAATGTTTGTCTTTTTTCTTAGTGATGATTGTTACGGAACAAAAATAAGAGCCCCCAAACCAACGCCYCCAGAAGCCCATGGGCAGAGGAAGCCGTGGGCAGGAGCAGGGGACGCTGGTGGTGAGTGAGGCAGATGAGACGCTTCAAAGGTTAGAAGATTGCTAAGGGGAGGTAGAGGCACCAGAGCAAACTCTGCAGCTGTCCAGGCCGTGGAGATCCGTAGGGAAGAACACTAGGCTGAAGAGGAGCCGCAGCAGCAGCAGCGAGGCCGGCAGGGAGCGGGGCCACGTGCTGCTCTCGTGCGAGCTGCTGAGCCTCCGAGCAGCCACCAGACACTCTCGCATGACACTGTCATGTGTCCCAGGGGTAAAGTGCTGGGGAATTGCTCGGCTTATCCCCCGGGCGCCCAGCACCCGCTGAGCCCTGCGCGCCGGGATTGTTCGCTCCCGTGCCCGGAGTGCCAGAGGCGCCGGGGAGCGGAGACRCTCCAGGCTCCTCCTGCCTTCCGGAGCAGAAGGGATGACCCGGCTCGGTAGAAGAGTGGGAGAAACATGCAGCGGGATTGAATTGAGGCGGAATTAGTGTCAGTCAGCACAGCTTTATGGAAATAGATCTTGCCAAACAAACCTGATTTCGTTCCGTAATGAGATTACGCTTTTGGTTGTAAAGATAACCGGGGAGATGTAATATACTTAGACTTCTGGAAGGCACTTTGCTTTGCGTGGTCCAGCATGCTGATGACAGCGTTAGCACCCCGAGCGAGGCACTTAGTCAATGGTCAATTATTCCAAAGGGAGGGGGCAGCGGGAGATGCTCTCAGATGTCCCTGTCACCTGTTGCCACCATGTGCTCCTGCTTTGCAGAGCAGACTCCTCAGATTGGAGACTGTCCCTAGGCAAGCAGTGACCCTGGGAGGAACCTGTGGGAGATGCAGCTGGGAATCTTCCCAAGGAAATGTCCTTCGTGGGCAGGGGACAAAATGAGGACTCTCCACGTGAGGGCCCAGAGTGTGGTCATTGGGAAGGATCTGGAAGCTGGTTTGCTGGAGGAAAGCATAGCAGAAAGTAGGGAATGGAAGCTGCCTCTGGATAACGGCATGTGGAAAGTGTGGTGTAGGAGCTTCCCTCCTGGAAGAAGGAAGGTTCCTTCTCCAGCTCTTGGTGTTTTCTTCTCAGCGCCGGTGTCTCTTTAGAGCATTTTTTTCCCCTGAACTCTTACGGGTGCAGCACAGAGCAGCACATAAAGGCTGCTAAAACAGGGGTGATGGAGCAGGTCATGCCCAGGGGAGCGCGGCCCCATTGCTGCGCGGGCAGAAGGGCCAAATGTGGAGGTGGCTGGAAAACCCCAACCAGCTGAGGAAATGCCAAGGGAGATGCCACCGGATCTCAGTCCATCTGGGCTCCCCATTCCCCTGTCCTCTAGGACCTGGGGGACATGCTTGTCCTTCAGTGGGCAGCTCTGAAGGCGGGGAAAGATGGTCATGGTCATCCTTGGRCTAGACTTAAGGTCTAGACTCTTAAGGTCTCCTTTGGCTCTCAGACCTATAAATTAAAGAGGTGAGAGGTTCAATAATATGGAGCACAGGAAGCCCTAGGGRTGGTTCAGACCAGACCTCTCCTCTGGAGATGTTCCCCAGATCTCCAAGGAAGGCTCTGGACCAGCAGCCCTTCTCCAGGGTAAGGTGAGAGGTTSTGGGAGATCCATGAAGCCAGGATTGAACTGCTGCAGGACACGAGCCGCGAGGAGACAGACCCAGGAGAGTCCCGTGTTGGGTGAGCAAGGACAGAGTGATGGGAGATGAGGAATTCTTACTCACTTCTGGGAAGCGGAGCTCTCCTCTGTGTCAGAGATGTTATTTATGGCCACGAGATGCAGGCTGATGATGAGAAACACATTGATTGAGGTTTCACAGCTACTGCACGCAGTAGATATGGATCAGTTACACCACAGCTCAAACCTGTATCAATGTGTTTCTAATAATCAGCTGGCATCTCATTAACATAAATAACTGTCTTATCCCATTTGGGAGAGCGGATCTGGGGCCTGCTAGCTGCACATTACCCGAAGGCCAGTTGCTCATTAGAACAATCTTTCTCCAGGTCTAACGCCCRGGGAATGGTGGCGTAATAAGACATCACTTGTTCCATAGTTGTTAGACCTTGGTAAATATGTTTCTAATCAGCAATTAGTACTTAATTAACACGCTGAAAATATCATTTTCAATCTAAATGAAGCTTTTACAGAAATCTGGAAGGGAAAGTGGGAAGAGYGAAGCTTGGATTAGGAGATGAAATCAAGGAGGGGAGCTTGAGAGAAGGGCCCGGGTGCTCTTGGGAAGCCGGAGCTGCGGGATGTAAAGCCGGGACTGGCTTGTTCAGGCTGTCCGTCCTGCCCACGGAGTTGCCCCGTTGACCACCAGGATTCAAAAGTGGGACCAGGCATCATCYGCACCGGCTCAGGAGGTGGAAGAAAAGATGCTCTGCTTTAAAATAAGTGATGTTTCAGTTTCCCTCCCATAGAATTTCTCCGCCCATTCCTGCCTTCCCTCTATCAATGCATTTTAGGTGCTGCTCTCCTTTCCCCTCACCTCTCAGTTCTCCTTCCCTCCTGCCTGCCCCGTTCCATAAGGAAGGCCAGGGCAGGCCAGCAAGAGCAGCGTGCCTGCAGGTGTGTGCACTGGGGCCTTTCATCTCCTCCTCGCTGTTTGTCCTTTCATTTCTCAAGTGCTTCAGCAAGAACCTTGGCTCRCCGGCGGATCATTAATGCAGAGCAAACAATGAGGCTCTTTAGGTCCTTTTCAGCTAATCACCATTGATCCAGGCTGACCTTTCTGAGCTTCTCCTAATCCCCAAATCTGGATTCCGATTTGCATTAAGCCACCTCGGAGGGAAGGTATCAGCAGAAATAACCCCCTCTCTGCTGCTGGAGAGCAGGGCCACCCGCTGGGAACCGGGCCGGGGATGGGATGCAAGTGCTGCCAGGGGCTGGATCCCAGCACCCTCTTTCCTTGTCCCTCCGGRGGATGTGGTGGCTGGGGGACACCTTCCTCCTTTCTGCCGCGGCTGGACTGAGGCCGGGTTGGATGTGGGAAGAGCGGAGAGCCAGGGGCTGCATCCCAGGGCCCGGCTGCCTCCYGCTGCCGGCCTCGCTCCCGGCAGCCCCTGCCAGGGGGATCTGAAGGGGTCGCTCCAGTGGAATGTGTTGGATGGAGCTTGACAGCATTTTTGCCTCAATACCAAATTCGCTAAGAAATATAGCTGTGGTGCAGGGAGAGAAATAAAACGCGTGAATGCAGGTGAAATTCCAATAGTTCTTATCCTGTTGGATGTGGCAGAAATGTCTAAATAATCAAAACATTCTGAAATGAAATACTGTTACTTTTTTTCCTTCTGTCTTAAATCACAGGTTTTATTTAAACTAAGCAACCCAGATTTTAAAAAGGAAAGAGTAAATCGATGCAAGCAGTAGGCAGAGCACAGGCAGGACATGGGCGTGCTTGGAGGGGCTGCTCTGTCCTCCTGGAATACCTGTGGGAAGAGCTGCCCACTGCTGCGTGCTCCGAACGTGGTGCTGGACACCCCGTGCTGCCGGCCATCCCTGCTGGCCCTGGTTGCTCCTGAGCCCCCTGGGGCCACCCCACTGTCACCTGTGGGGCGGCGGGGACACTGGTGGCCTCCCTGTCCCTTTCCCCCCCTGCACAAGAATGCATGGGGGGAAAGGCAGAAATCCTGACCCAAGCTTTCCCATACAGACCTGCAAAGAAAGTGGTGTAATGATCTTAATTAATTGGCCTAATTAAGATCCCAGCTGGTAGGAAGCTGGGTTTCGTGGCAGCTGGGCCCGCTGCAAGGGAGGCAATAAAAGCCTCAGCAGCAGGAGAGGTGYAAAGGGAGGGCTGTGGGGTTGGGGTCTAGCAGGGTATGGGGGCCCCAGGGGATGGCCATGGTTTTCCCTGCTGCAGGGCCCATCTGTGCCAAGGGAAGGGCCCTGGTCACCTTCCTGCTGCCTCCAGGTTCCCAGGAAGTTCTCGGGCTGGTGCAAGGTGAAGCCTCTGAGATGTGGAGGCCCCAGGTCCTGCTTGCCCAGCACCTGGCTGTTCTGTGCCCTGCTGCTCCCTAGCCCATACCCAATGCTCTGCTAAGGGGCAGACTTTCTTCATATGTAAGTATTTTTATATTCTTTTAAAATTGCTTTCTCTTTCCCAAATTGCCTCCCCTGTGTCTCTCTCCATCTCTGAAATTTCCCCAGCAGTCTCTTTTATTGGTGCTGCTCAGCCCTTGGCAGGGGTAAAGCTAAAGTGGGTGGCTTGAACAGGTAGTAAATGCGTGCCTGGTGCTTGACTTCCTTTGAATGAGAGGACAGATGCTCTCCTTGGTGAAATGACTCAAGAGCAGTGTAATTTCTTCCTTTTTTTCCCTCAAACCTGGTCCCTGATGGACTTTTCTCTCCTTATTTCTAAGCTGTTTCTGGATGCTGAAAGCCCCATGGCCGGGTACCATCCATCTCCTCAACACACTTCAGCGCCGTGGAAGCTTTGTGTGCTGATAAATAGCATAATAGGAAGAAATTTAATGGACTATCTAAAGTGCCTCTCTTCAAATCAAAGTGCACAGGGTGCGACCCAGCCATCGATACACAATACAYGTTAAACAAACAATTGCTCAAATATCATAAAAACAGGCTATAAAAGCCATATAAACCTCTGGAGATACTGGCAAAGTAGCTATTAACTGTGTGTAAGGGAAGCGTGTGAATGCCTGTGTCTGAAAAAGGGGCTTTGGGGCAGCTGTGCCTGAAATGCTGTGGGATGCAGGAGGGCYGGAGCAAAGGGGCGCCCAGGTGCTCCCTGGCGAGGAAAGGGGCGGTGTGGAGCTGCTGTGTCCTTCAGCAAAGCGCCACAGGAGCCCCACACCGTCCCGGGAAGGGCCCTGAGCCCTGGCGGGAGATGCCCCCTCTCTGTGTTCCCGCAGATGCTCCCAGGCCCTGCTCCRCGTCCCGAGCTGCCTCCTCGGCTCTGACAAGCGTCCACCCGTGATGCTGTTGAACAGGTTGTGCAACAGAGATGCACAGGAAGGATAAGGCAGCAGATAGTCACATCAAGAGCGACAGGCCTTTGTAGGTCAGTGTGGAGTYTTCTGTTCACAAAACCGGAGTGGAATTTCATCAGATTCTAATAGCTGCCGGAGAGCAATGTGGAGAGCTCCCTGCAAAGGGCCCGTGAGCCCAGCTGGAGAACAAATCCTGCAGACAGGGGTGCCTCCCTCTGCAGATCTGTGGTTATGGATCATCTTCCTTGCTTAGCAAGGAAGAGAAACTGCATCTGCTTTTCCCCCGCTGCTTTGATCCGCAGCCAGGCCGTAGGGAGCAGTCCCAAGGTGTGTGCAGCTCCAGCCTGGAGCAGTTGAGCCCCTCTGCTCCGTGTGCTGCCCAGCCCTCCTGCTTTGTCAGCATTTGGGGGGGTGGCATTTCTTTTTTTGTTGTTATTTTGGGGTCTAGGGGGTGGTGGTGATTCATGAGCTCTTTCTGGCTCTTTCGTTGAAAACCCAAGATGACAGAAGGTGTGGGAGTGGAGCTGAGCTTCACGTGGGCTTTCCAGTCCTGGATTAATCTATCCTTAGGATGCTGATGGCGCTGAGCCGCTCCAGAAAGGGTAGAGGAGCAGCAGCAGGACAGCACTGCTGCCGAGGAGGATGGTTCCTCTCTGTGTGTCCAGTTCCGTGTCTGCTCTCCAGCAGCGTGGGGAGCAGGACCTGCACATGATCTGTCTCCTCTTTGYATCTCTACATGCTCTGGCACTCACCAAACCAAGGGCTTTCCCGAGCCAGAGGCTCRCTCAGGGCTGTTGGTTGTAGGAGCCCCTTTTATGCCTTTCCCTCAGTCTGGTTCCGCTTGGTGGGTTGGTGCTCGGGGCTCCGCAGCATCCTGCAGCAGGGATGCGCTCAGTGCTCAGGCCCTGTGTGCTAGGAGCCTCCCTCACGTTTGTTCCAAATCCGCTGCTGGATAACTCTGCTGCTTGTGCTGAGGGTGTTTTGTCCCGGGAAAATGTGAGTGGTTGTTTCTTCCCCACCTCCTCTGAATTGCCTGTGACTTTATTGAGCAGTGTCGTATTTCCTCCTCTTCCTTCTGTAGCCATCCGGTCCTCCTGGAATAGACTGTTCTGTTCTTCTGCTTGTTCTTCTCTCCTTTCATTATTTCCTACACCCTTATAAGCTTCCTTCACAAATCCCTTGGCTCTCAGACATACTCAGCCTCTCGTCTGGGCTGTCCCACACTAGCTCGACTTGCCCTGTAATTCTTGCCCAAGCTCAGAAACCTTCCACTCCCCTTGAGGGGACCTTGCTGCCCTTCCAGCTCCTGCGAGGACAAGCCTGGAAAGTTCCCTAGTGGTAAAAGTAATTTTTTCTTCTATTYTTCTATGATTATTTTCTTCTATTTCCCAGGTGATAGAAATTGCTGTGGCAGGGAAACTCTTTGCTAATAAACCTTTGTATACTGTTTATTTGTCAATGACAAACGCAGCACAAACTCCTCTGCTGCAGCTGGGGCCATGGGGGCTGCCCTGTGTGTGGCTGCCCTTCTCTCTGGGGGTCACTGTTGAAGCYGACAGCCTGGCAGTGTCTTTGGGGCTGGTACACGTTTCAGGATGCCAGTGTGGGATGCAGATCCGGCCTCCCCAGGGTCACGGAGCTGCCGGTCTCCGTGGCAACGTGCGGCGCGTGGTACCCAYGTGCAGGGCAAGCTGACAGCGGCGGCGAGGCGGGCGGAGTGGAGCGTCCACACGATGCTCCACAGCATCCCGGGGAAAAAGGAGAGCCCGGACAAAACGGAGTTGAGGGAGGAGGGAACGGAGAGGATTTATCGCATCTTCACACGGCTCCAGCGCAAGCAGCGGCTGTGGCAGYGCCGGGACTGAGCCTCTGATCTGCGGCTGGAAACAAAGGGTGGGAGGAAGAGGAACTGGTGCCTCGATAAAGGCGAACTTGAAGAGGTGACGGGTCGAGGGATTTGGGCTCCAAGAACTTTCTCAAACCGTAAATTTTCAATAGCAGCGCTGAAGCCAGGAAACCTGAACCAGCTCCCAGAGATATATTATTTCGGGAGCAGACAAGGTCAGTTCTCAGCCTCCTCCTGAAGTTCCCACCTTGTCCTCGTTACGGCTGTGGTCTGCGCTGGCGCGTTGGAACGTGCGCCTGCGCTCGCGGYTCTCGGACGCCTGGGCCCCTCAGGGGTCACGGTGCAGGGATGTGCTCTTGGTGCAGCCCGCCCTGTGCAGCAGGACTGAACTGTCCCRTTGGAGCAGCCCTTGCCCCAGGGTTTCCCTGCTTCCAGCTGCAGGAGTTTTGGAAATAGAGCAGCGACTGCTGCGGTGGCTCTTTCCTTACTGCCTTCCTGGGAGCACCCATGCCCCATGTGAGGGGCTGCTGGAATGGGGCACGTTGCTGCAGCCAAGGAAGCAGACGGGTTCCAGCAGTGCCGAGCAAGTGGGACATGGGCTGCGGGTCCCCTGTGGGACGAGGTGGCATCGAGCGACCAGGCTACCGAGGGGCACCCTGCGGGTCCCCGGGGGCTGTTGGCAGCTGAGCTTGCACCAAACAGGAGTGTGTTGGGGTGAAGCCCCTGTGGCAAAAGTGCCCTCTGCATTTCTGCTGCCCTGGGCCCCGTCCCTCCTGTGTTTGCCTTCTGTGGCTTCTCGGCAGCAAGTTCCCTGGCAGGAGTGTTTGCGGAAACAGCTCATTTAGAATGTAATCTGGCCTGAGCACGAGTTATTGAAATTATTTGATGAATAATTTAGGATAACAATTAAAGTCAAAAAAAATCATAAATAGCTCATGAGCAATTCATGAACCGGAAGAGAGGCTAAAGTTTGCCTGATAAGTGACTTGCAGCCCATTAGTCTGGCGGCCGGAGCGCAGAGCCGTGCAGCGGGGCCGGCAGAGYCGCGGCTGCCCCGGGCTCCCAGCAGGTTCCCAGACGGGCCTCAGCCTGGCACGGGGCTGGGAAGGTCGGGCAAGGAGGACCTTGCTGTGAGCGGCCTGYGGAGGTGTGGACACGAGGCCAGCCCTGGTGGATCCTGTTCCTGAGCCTGGAGAGCAGCCCCAGCCAGGAGGGCTTTCCTGGCGGGGACTCAGCCCCTCCAGGCGCTGCTCATCATCCGCACAGGAGCATTGCAGGCCACCTCTGCCCTTCAGCTGGACTGTCCCTGCCAGTCCTCTCCCTGTCATGAGGCCAGAGGCAAAGGGAGGAGTCTCCTCTGGCCACGATAAGGCTGTTGGAATTGGCCTGGAGCACCAGYGCTTCTGGCTCTGCCTCCTCTTCCTCCCAGGGGAGCTCTGCCAGGGACACAGCGGGTCTGTGTCCTTGTCCCGCCTCCTGCCCCRTGGTGGGCTGACCAGCTGGGCACGGGGTCACTTGCCCCGTGGGACACAGTCTGGTCATGCACACGGGTTCGCRGTGGGTAGAGGCCAGACTCACTCCTGGTGTGGCCTCCGCATGGAGTCCCCAAATGCCACCACGACCCAGTGACGCTGCGGAGCCTCCAGGGAGGTGCCCCCACCAGCGAGGGCTGCCAGCCCTGCCTGCTCTGCGCTGCTGTCCCCTCGGGAGCCCTGGCCGCAAGGGGCAGCAGCAACAACCGAATYCACTTTTACTTGAACTGAAACTAACTATTTCCTGGCCGCCGCAATGACCCTCCTCTGTCTCTCCCCCTGCCCCCAAACGCGTGTTCTTTTCAGCTCAGACAAAATGCTTTGCTCAAAATGAAACAAAATGCTTCCATTCCCATTTGGGTCATTTTTACCCAAAGCAGTGCGGGGTGGCCGAGCAAGCGATGTGATTCCAAGGGCTGATGCTCTCGCCCGGAGCCTCCCCGGGGGCGGCGCTGCCCATGCGGGCGCTTTTCCCGTGGCTGCCCTGGAGCTGGAGCTGAGGCCGGAGCGGCTCCGGAGCARCCCTGGCTCCCGGCAGAGCTGTGCGCGGCGCCTCTTCCCAGCGAGGCTGCCTGTGGATCCCGACGCGGGAGCTGCGGGAGCTGCTGCCAATCACTGCAGCAAATTCCCCGGGGTTTCTGCTGCTTCCTTGGGCTCTGCTTGGATGCCCAGCATATCCCAAGTAGCTGCAACAAGAAACGCTTCCCAAGGCGACTCCAGGCTGCAGAGTCCATCCTAGCGGAGAGGGAGGCTGGGCAGTCTCCGTGCCTCCTTCCCAGGCTGCTTCCCAGCTCGGGGTTCTAGCAGCTCTTCGTATCATGGTGTGTGTGCTTGGGAGCTGCGAGGAGGAGCCAGGAAGTGCAGGAAGAAGGGTGGATGTGGAAGTGGGGCTGTGCCTCAGTTTACCTAGGGGTGCTCCGGGGGTAATGGTGAACCTGCGTCCACATGAAATGTTAAATGCACTTCACATTTGGTTGAGATGGTCCTGCCGCACTGGGAATGCTTTGGGAGCTAGGTTGGTAGCTGGTATTTTAGCAGAATGTTTCCACTATCTCAGGTGGAAGCAGGAAACCTGGGTTCGCTTTCCCCGGCTCCATGGCAAGGCGAGCAGAAGCCTCAAGTGCTTTGGTGTTCTACGCTTTCCAGATTTGAAACTCTCTTTTTCCCTCCTGACTTGGGATTAAAGAAGAGCCCAAAGAAAACAAAGAGAACGCGAGATGTGCGAATGTCTCAGCAGAGAGAAGGTGCCSTCGGTGTCAGCACTCGGCGCCTGCGGGCCGTGGTGCGTG